GCCTTTAGAATTAAGTAGAAATGATATTTTATAAATAAAAACCTCAATGACAACATCGCAATTTGAGATAACCACAGAATTAAACAGGAACGATATTCTGTAAGTAAAAACCTCTATACTATAAGTAAAAAACTCTATGCTATAAGTAAAAACCTCTATGCTAGGGCAGAGTTTTTGAAAAGCAGCCTTATGACATCCTCACAAGTTGAGATGCCCTTAGAATTAAGTAGAAACGATATTTTATAAATAAAAACCTCAATGACAACATCGTAATTTGCGATAACCGCATAATTAAACAGGAGCGATATTCTATAAGTAAAAACCTCTAATGACATCATCGTGAGTTTAAATGTCCTTAGAATTAAAAAGGAACAGGAATCTCCAGGAGCGATGGTAAAATCTGATTCATCGGTACCTCACGGTTATTAATTTCTGGGTTCGAAGCCGGATCGTGGATAGATTCGTCCGAGCTGTGTAACCGCATATTTCTTAAAGTATAGAAATGTTAATTTCTGAACCCTTTTTAAAACCTTTTATTTACGTTTCTTAAATGTTCCATGAACATTTAAAAAAATTTAAAAGTTTCAAGTGCTATGAAGTACTTAATGAGCCATCAGATATGAAACTAATTTATTAAAGAACAAAGTCTAAACATTATTACACGAGCATTTAATTAGAGTAATGACTTTCTCATAATTTATTTTTCAATGAATAATCGAAAAGTATCTAATCAGTTTTCTCAATTCTACTCTTCAATTTTAAAATTTTAAATACAAATGGGTCTTGTGAACTATCTTTAGAAATGTTCAAAAATTTATTTATTTATTAAAAAAAAGAAAATTCTGAATACAATATTTAACATGCAAACTTACTTGATTGTCATCTTGATAAATGGTTCAATTGGCAAAATTATAAAAAAATCAATAAATTATTTAAGCAAATTAATCGAAATAGAAATGAAAACTTTTATAAAGAAAATAATGAAACAAGAATCATTTTTAACTTTCTCTTTTTTAAATGAGAAATAAAAGCAGGATATTATTTATTTACTGCAAGCACGTTTGCAACAAACTAAATCTGGGGGGGGGAATATATCCTACCGTGGTTTTAGGCTTTACAATTTAGAGGATAACCATAAATATTTCTTATTAGTAATAGTTTAAGTGAGATAAAAACACAAACTCTGATCAAACTCTGTTCCTTTCAATGCAGTTTTTTTTCGAGATTTTTTTTATTTGCATATGTTCTGCAATAGCAAGGTTGTATGTAGGGTTTAACTATTCTGAAAATCTAAAATTCATGCGCTTCTTTTTTTCAAAATTACTTTTCTGCAAGAACTGGATATCCTTCTAAATATTCAAAAAGGTCATTGAATATTTCATTAGCTTCCGAAAGCATTACAGTCTAAACGGAAAAAAAAAATGGATACAGTACTCCTGGTTCTTAAAACCTACCCATAAAAACATTTTAAATCTGACTAGCATTTTTTAAATCGTTAAAATGGTAATTTCCATTTTTTAATTTCTATTTCTGCTTCTTTTTGAAGTATTCATTCCTCTGGTAAAAAAATATCATAACTATTTTAGGAAAAAATTTTAGTGTTATAATAGCACTTGTTTTTTTTTTTTCAGAACAATCAGATATAATTAATTATATTTTTCTTCCAGTTTTGTACTCTGTTTATCCATTAAAGCAAGATGCTCGAAATGCCCAAACGTAGGTTTAGTAAATTTTCTCGTTATTTTTTTAAACAGAAAATTTATTAAAATGCATACCAATATCAAGCTAAAACCAAAATGTTATAATTTTTTTCATTAATTGATTTGTTTTAACTATCACATTTTTAAAAACAAAATAACCATGCCTTCATTATATTTAGTACGTGAAAAAAATTTACCACCCTGAATTACTTTTGATATAATGACCGAATCGTCACGTTCGATGACTCAATTTTAATGATTCGAGCTGATGACTTCAAATAAGCTTATTAATTAGTGCAGACGATATTTTAAGTTACGAAATCAGACTCAAAAACATATTTTCTCTGGATAATCTTGCGTTTTAAACTCTCTGAATAATTATAAATGTAAATTTCTTTTTTGCGCACAATATGAAACCTACCCATTTTGGACAATTATCTCTTTAATTTTTGATCAAATAAGCAATTTAAATTATTATTTTATTTAGTATTTTTTAATTTTAAGACACAAAAATTTTACATCATGTAAAACTACATATTTCTAAAAACTAATTTCAAATATCTTAAATGAAACAGTTGAATAGCTTCTAATTGAAAGGATAATTAATTAACTCTGGAAACTTAAAGTTCTGGATATGACCTTTAATTAAGATTAATGTTTTTTTTAATTTTTTGCTCTTAGGTAGTTATTCAATATTTCGCTTTCACTAATATGAAATTACTGTGCTGTTACCTATATATTCAAAAATTTGTCGGAATGTAAATTATATTCAATTAAATTTTATTTTAAACTGTTATTTTTAATGATTTTAAATAAAAAAAATAAAAAATGGCAAACATATTTTGAAAATTATTTTACGCATGAACGAGTTTGATTAAGTTTCTTGCGAAGTAATTTCATAAACGCGAATAACTATTTTGTAGTTCAACAAAGAAGCTCTTGAGATGCATAACTGAAAGAAAAAAAAAGTAAAAACCAATTAAGGGGCTTGGAGTTCAGATCTCATTCAAAATTAAATTGTTAACTCGGATGTTTCTTACTTTAATTTGATAACTATTCAGTTAACATAGTTTCGCTTAGATTATTTCATTTCATTTCATATTCTTTAAGTACGTAACTCTGAAAAAATAATTCTAACAAAAAAAAAACGTATTTGTTAGGAAGAGCCCTCTCAGAAATAAAACGATTCAACAGAATAAACGATTTTGACGATTCCACAGCCCTTGTGCTGTATTTCTTTAATTGTGAAAATCATTTCGTTACTAACTCACGTTATTTGCGGCAAAACGTAAACTCTCAATTATATGACGAAAATGTTTCCTCAACTCGGAACCTCATTACAGTGCATTATGGGAGATTGTTAACTAAAGTGATGACTAGACAATCGAAATTAGAATGACGAAAAGAAGGCCAGTCTCTATCCTGGTCAAGGATCGAGTGGACCTTATGCAGTAAAAGCCAGGTTCGAGTCCCTCTTCGGGTATGGATATAGTTTATTTCTCTGTTCTGTCTATCCCTCTTGCGTTGTCGGGGAAACGTTGATCTACCTATATGGTGTCCATGAAAAAGTGATCAATCCGTTATATACCATGAAGCACTATGAATGTCTCATGGTATTTTATTTTTTGACGAAAAAGAATGACGAAATATTTCTTTACTTTTCCCGAAATTCGTTTCTCTGAGGAGAAGAAGTGTGGATAATTATTTCTTCAATTTGACGAAATTTTTGCTCAAAAATGGTTTCATTAAAAACGAATAAAGTTTCGTGATATTTGAGTATCCAGTTTTTACAGTGAGAAATTTCTGCTGAAAATTATCAAGAATTCTGCTATGAAAACATTCAAATTATTTGTATTTAAGTTATTTATTTAATAATTTTACTGTACCTTCTAACAATGATTCATCAAAACTTCTGGTTTTCAAATTTATAGTTCTTATTATCAGCACTTTCATTAAAAATACTAGATTGAAAAGTAAATTTACCGGAAAAAAACTTATCTTCAGAACGTACTTTTCATTTGAGCATTTAATTGGCAATTTTAAGAGTTTAGTAACAATATATTTTACCAAATAGATAATAAACATCATGATAATAAACATTATAAACTGTTTATCATGCTTCATGGTATAGTTTCTTTAAAATGGCGGCACTGTGATAACAGGGCTTTGATGTAATTTTTAACTGAACCATCTAATTATTTCAATTTTGTTTCTTTTTTCCATTATAATTAAATTATTGTTTCTTCAATTCTAACAAAAGGAAAAGGGGCCTGAATGACTATTTCTAGTGTTTAATTGAAGCATGTTAAACATACTAGATTCTTGCAGAGAAAAAGAAGTTCAGATGAAATTACAGCAAGGTATGGTAATAATATTTTTGGTAAAAAAGAAGTAAAAAAACATAATTAAAGTAATGAAAACCAAAATATATAGTATTTAAACCATATATTTGGTAATTTTTTCGTCTCATACGGTAACAATTTTCCAATTTTTTTTTCGCAGTGTCCAATTTTTTTTTCGCACCTCTATTTTATGTAGTGGAATTAATGTACAATTTTACTCCGACATAGTGATGTCAAACTTTTGTCCAACAAGGAAATAGTACCAAAAGTGATGCAAACTTCTTGTATCAAGCAAAACTTCATTTTATAAATTTTGGGAATAGGTCAATTATTGAATTGGAATAGGTCAATTATTTTCAGGCCATTTCAATTATTCTCCTCTTCCAATTTTTTTTTTTTTTTTTGCATTTAACAGAAAGAAAGACATTGCTCACTGTTGTATCATCATATTTTTTCTGTAAGAAATTGTGATTTATCGTTCTATTTTTGCTGTATATTTTTATTAGGTTTTTTTAATACAATTTTAAAATACTTTTAAGTTTTTTTTTCTTCTTAATTTTTAAAATATGCATTTCTTTATTTTATCCCTTTCTTTTTCTTTCATGCAGTAAATATTTTTATTAGTGATTCTGAGAAACATCTGCTGCAGTATATAGACCAATTGGAAAATCCGGCTCTTTGCAAACTGCAGATGCCATTTGATGATTATTGCAGTGAGTTTTTAAGCGCATTGTGAGGTGTCATCAGCAGTTTCCAGAACAGAATTTTTCAATTAGCCTACAACATACAGTTAAGTTATTCGTGACATCTGTCAATTTTTACCATATTCCGGTAGTTTGAACCATATTTATTTTCTCAGTCTACATTTAAATAGTAAGTGATCATGTTTGAATTTTTGTTTATTCTTTCCTATCCATCTTTTGTAACAAAAGTGTTTTATTCGAAACAACACAAAACAAACAGTTTAATATAATTTATTATAAACTTAATGAAAAAGAGTACACACATTTGAAAATCTAATAATTATCAGTGAATTTTATTAATTTACTTAAATATTTGCAAAATTTTTGCAATCAGTAATTTAAATCCATGAAATCAATACAAGTTTTATTAAATCAACGCTAATACTTTAATTCATGCTTAACATATCATATCTAATAGATGATAAATTTTATTCATGAAATAATTATAAAAAATAAATTCTATCGAGGTTATAAGTTCAGCGCGATAATAAAAATGATTGTATTTACAAATGTTTATAATACAATTGTATCACAAAGTAAAAATGAACACAGGTAGTTTATGTGATGGAAATCAAACGTTAAACGTAGGAAATAATACAAAGTACTTAAACGTACCTCACTAAAATTAAATGCAGGTTATTTGTGACAACAAAATGAGTTATAACATTTCGTATTAGCGTATAAACACTCTCAAACAATAAATTCAATTAATAAAAAATATAAATTGATTAAATGAATTGGCATATTAGTAGGACAGCCTTTTGTTATTTATAATTATAACCAGTGAAGCTAATGTCAGTAATAATATCCATTGCATATTAATTCTTTCAGCAAAACTGAAGTAAGGACAATACGGACATTGATAGGAACCACAAACTTCACAAATGTTCAAAACAAATAAATCAAAGTCTTCATATATAGTCTCTTTGTACCTCTCTGGAAAAAAAAAATATGTAAGATTAATTTCAAATAGGAAACGTTGAAATACTACGGTAGTAAAATTCTCTAACAAAAGTTTATTAAAATATTAATTCGTCTCTAGAATCCAGCATTTAAACTTGATAAAATATCCAATATATCATGGTTCTCAACTTGGGATCAAAAATCTCTAATCATCGACGGAAAAGATAAGATTAAAAGTACCAAACATTGTTTCATCACTGAAGGAATCTAAAAGAAGGTGAAAGGTGTCATTAGAAATGCCTTCAAGTTTTATCTAGCAGGTTTTGGTGTTTTAATCCTCCAACTCCAAAATTTTAAGCTGAGTTAAATATTTATTTTTCCTCACATAAATATTATTCTGAGACTCCTCATTTGCATGCTTTTTTAGTTCCTTCAAAGATTTCAAAATTGTAAATTAAGTCTGGTGCTATAGCTAGGAAATATCTATGCAATGTATTGCCTCAGTGCTGGCTAATTATGCTAACGTTAATTTGTCTCCAGGTTTACAATTTTTAGATTTTTATATTCCTCTTTGTGTAATCGTAAGACTCCTTAGTTATCACACAACAAAGCATGGCGAACTTAATAGTTTTATTTTTATAATGCCTTACATAACAAAAGATTATTTTATCTAATTAATGGAGATCATAATAATACATTTGTTTGTCACGTCATGTTCATAATTCAATAATAATTCATGTCAAATGGAAATGTTTATTTAATGTTAGTTTAATGTTACGTAAGCACTATTGATGTTTGTTAAATTGAAGTAATAAAGTAAAAGAAACGTATTTTATCAATCATAATAATGAATCTTATAACAATTGTTTTCTTTAACTATTTGAATTCTATGTGCACTTTTAGAAGAAGTGAACGTATTAAAATAATATAACACTCTGTTTGAAATTTCTTCAAAAAGATAGTTAAAAAAACAATTTATTTCATTGTTATTTTATCATATTTTACCGAAACAGTAAAATAACCATAAAAAAGATGGTATTCAAACTGTTAACTGTGAGAAAAATTGTTTATTGATGGTTTTCAACCAATACGGTTGCACAACTAGAATTTTATACGTCCAACTAGGCCCCCATAGCCAAAGAGAATCGAGAGCACTTTTTTTCCAAAGCTGTAAGCTAATCCATGTGATAGGGATGACGAATTCAAGTTTTTGTTCTCCGTCATTAGATACATAACACAACAGCGGGTGCCTAATAGTCTTATAGCAATAAGTGTGTGATGATTACTTTGCAACTAGGTGCATGCTTTAACCGAGCATTGCAACTAGATACATGCATTGCAACAACTAGGTAGCATTGCAACTAGAACATTGCAACTAGGTACATGCTTTAGCCGAGAGGGCTAAGCTATCAATTTCATGACCGGAGTGAAAGGGTTTGAATCCTCACGTAGACACTATGATATTTTCTCCATTCCTGCAAAAAATGAGTAGTTTCCAGTGTCCTGCTTTTCTCAGTTGGTGACCCTGGGCAATTGGAATACAAAACTCTCGCTCACTCATAGATGACAACACCCCAGAGTTTAACACAAAAAGTCTATTTTCTCTATCTTTCACGATAGATGGCACTACCAGATAATCTAAGTAAACCACATTCCATGATTCGCTTGGCAAAACAAAGCTCAACCGAAGCCTAACTCTTATGTAAAATACCTAACGAAAAACCTAGCATAACCTAACTCCTATGTCCAGTTAGATATCATTTTCACAGTTTTGAAAACATACTATTTGTAAATGGTTACAAAACCGTATAGTTTGTTATTCGCTGTCTTTTAATCATATTAGTTGCAAGCGGTTTCAAACACTTAAAGGTAAAGAAAGCCGTAAGTTCTATGGTTAATTGAATGGACAAACTGCAGCCGATCTTTCTACCGTACTTTTAGAATGAAAATCCTAACATAAATGTACTAAGCTATATTTTATTAACTCTTAAACATAATAATTATTCCAATTCAAAAAAAGGCACTAACCTATAAAAATGTTACAAAAAGGATGCAACGGGGAAGTGTTTAAGGAGTTTTGCATTAAGCAGTACTTTCAAGTCTGATTGATACGCAGAATATCTCCGTATGTACCTTATCTACATAGTATTAGAACATATATTTGCCGCAAACCTCAATTGTTGCAAACCTCAATCAAAAATAATAAATGAAAAATTATGAATTGACCCAAAGTTTAATATCTGAGACAATAATAGCCCAGAACAACATTCAGTGGTGCTTGAAATAAAATTATCCTGAAACAACAATTCGATACTCTTGTTTCAGGCTAATTTTAGTTGTTTCCGTGAACTCCACAGTGCTTGAATTACATGATTGTATTATTTGCAATAATTTGTTATACGTCTTAATCTTGCGCTACATACAATTTCCAAGTAAATGCAATAAATAATTCCAATAAATCGTTAACGCTACCAAAGTTTTAAAATAGCAAGCTTATAAATTTATACTCTTAAATCGTATAATTATTTAAACTCATCGGAGTGTCAATAAATTAATTGATTGATTAATATAAAGCTATAGTGACTGAAACTATATAATACATTCTTGTTGCAATTAAATGTGTAGTTAAAATTTCTCCATAGTTACTTATTTATTTAAAAAAAAAAAGAACATGATTACCTGGGGTATAATAATCATACACCTTAGCTTTGAGATATCTTGTTAAATTTGCCACAGGATACCATCTTTGGACAGTAAAATTAACACACAACCATGATGTATCTAACTGTAAAGCAAATTATTTTCTTTTCATTAATGACCAGCAAAAAAATAATAATTGAAAGTTATACACATTATTTCCATGAATATCTTACGTAATCAAACATGAAGACAGCAGATTTTGGGTAAACCCGACCTCTTTTGAGTCTTGGCACTTTTCTGCTAAAGACGTAAGTGTCCATATCTGGTTTATGGATTAAATAACCTGTGGGTAATGCAATTTCCATCACAGCAACACCACTTGTTTCACTTTCCTTTGTATATGTCCATCTACACAAGTAAAAGAAAGATTTATTATGGATTTTAATTGGGTAAGTTTCAGAGTTTATTACATTTTTAACAACTTCCGGACACAGAACGTCAAAGATAATATTTAACCATCACATGGAAATCAAATCTATTCGAATAAGGAAGCTTTAGACTGATACCAAATTAAAATCGTAATAGGAGAAGAAAGGCAATGTCAATTCATAATGAAATAAAAATCACTTTTGTTTATTTTTATTGAATTATAAAAAAAGATATATTTTAAGAAATTAAAGCAATATTTCTCAGAATTTTACTTAGAAAAATAAAAGCAAAACAAAAGAAGAAAAATGTACTTATTTTTTGTTTCAATGGGTAAATATTAAGTATTTATTGCAAATTTAATATTTCGGAACATTTTTTACTTTGTCTGCGTAGAAAAGAAATAAAAATATCTCCATAAAAGGTACGGTAGACCAACGTGAAAATATTGGGAACTTTAGTATTTTCATATAATCTTGTATTTATTATATTAATTTATATTTTTCATGTAATCTGGCATATTTATTTAACCTTTTAACTATTCCCCCCTTAAATTATATAAAGAATTACGTATGCCGTAATGCAAACAGTTAAAGGTTAAACATAAAAGGAAATGTGGAACTTGAAAGTCAATAAATAGGTTATATGTCAAAATTTTCCACTATTTATATATATATTTTCTTTCCAAGAAAGAAAATTTAAAAAAAATTTTTAGAATTTATACTGTTTTGAAAACAGTTAAATAGTAAATCATCTACGAGAAAGAAGACTCTTCGCAAATTATGCTATTAGTAGCTATGAAAATGAAAAAAAAAAATTAAACACAACTTAAATAATTACATTTTAATTTTTTAATTTAGAGTGGTAGACTATAGTCTCAGTAAAGAATATAATGAGCCCCTTTTTTCTAAATTTTCAATATAACTTTTGGTTTAAGAATCACATGTAATCACACCCAGCAAAAATTGACGATGAAGATTTGTTATTGATATTCAAACTCTTTTTTGAACTGATATTCAAAAATCAATTTTTCTCCAAAAACTTTAAATGTTCAAAATATGACCAGCGTGCTATACATTTTTTCTCTTTTTGGTAAAAATAATAATTCATAGACCGTCAAATTTTACTAATAACAAAAACTTATATGAATTCAGTATGTTATTTTATAGTATATTTTATTATAAGAGGACATAATATGCACTATAAACTATTTTATGGTATATATTATAGAACATTATAAATGTATTTACTTAGTTGGAATTTTTTAATAAAAAAATATTACTCATTATTAAAAAATATAATAATGATGTACTTAACTTGCAATGATATTATGATATTTAAAAAAAAAGCATTTATAAAGGATTTTTTTTAATCTTGCAAAAGAACCAATATTAATCGCTAACAGAAGTTTCATGAGTACAAATAATTTTGATAAATTTAATATTTATGGTAACAATAAATATTTACTTATGACAATGATTAATATTTCGTTTAATCAGTTCGCTAAAAAGGTTTTCTGTATTTTAATAAACAATATTTTTTTATAAACTCAATTAAATAATAAAGATAATGACTCTTAGCACATACTTAGCACAGCTCTCAATATTCATGTGAGATTTATTTCTTCCATGGTAATATCCCTTCACCGTCAAATCAAATGAAGGTACAGGTGGCTGAATTAGAAGAAAATCCCTATCAACATTGTATCCAACATCCAGCTGAAGGACTGATAACCCAGATCCTTTAGCTATTATTTCAGCATGACCCCAAACTCTAGGAGCTACCTAAAATACAAGAAAAAAAAGCTGTATTACTATCTTGAAAGACTACGCGTCTTATTTCCTTAAGAGAATTATACGTTGAAATGTTGAGATTTTTAATCCAAATCAGTGTTCAACAGAGTAGAAAAAAAAAGTTTTGGTATGTCGTTAATGAAATTTTATCTCCCTATTTTTTAAGTTTAGCAAAAATGCACAGGATTTGTCTTACAATAAGGCACACCAAGTATCACAATAAAGTGTGAATATTTTTAATGTGTTTTTTTTTTTTAAATTTTTGCTAAAGCTAAAAATCTTAGTAATACTTTTTAAGAAAAGTTGATAGTTTCTTTCAAACGTTTTAATGAACCTTTAAATGTTTCGTATTCTTTCATTTGAATTTCTTTTTATAATAGACTATAAAAACTCATAAAATAAGATCTTGTCAGTTTATTATATTACAAAGCAACTTCAGAAGAAATATTTACGTTCTGAGAAAGAAGTTTAGTATTTTAAAATCAATTTTTAGTGCTTTAAAAAGATTTTTTTAACTCAGCATTAATTTTTAATATTTTGTAATTTTTGAATATTTTTGAATATTTATACGATAATTGGGTATCGGCTGAAATCTATTCATGTTTAAGACTAATAGACGCATACACTATTAAAATTTTTATTCTAAAATCGTTGGAAAATAACCAGGAGCAGTCTGTCCAACCAATTATCCATAAAGTTTACAGAAAAGAACATTTTCAACCTTTACAGTTTTGGAACCGTTTGATTAAAAAACCATGAATACAAAATTATACGGTTTCAACCATTTACGACTAGCAGGGTTTCAAAACCATTAAAAAAATTTAACTGGATATTGGAGATAGTTTAGCAGCTTTATGATGCGGCCATCTATGCGTAGATGAGAGTATCATATTCTAATAACCCAGGGTCACAAATTGGAGAGTGCATGACACTGGAAGCTCTTCATCTGTTGAAGGGAATGATTAGCGAATGAAGATTAGAGCTCTTGGCTATTATAAATATATACCCATTAGCAGGAAACTGAGTGGTTTTCTTAGGTGGGTCTAGTTGGTACGATAAAATTCTGGTTATTTAACCGTATTATGTGATAGCAGTTAATAAGCGGGTTTTTTTCACAATTAAGAGTTTGAATACTACCTTGTTCATGGTTATTTGACTCTTTTGCTTGAATATGATAAATTAACAATAAAATAAAGTGTTATCTAACCATTTTTCCAAGAAATTTGTAACATTGTATGGTTTGAAATATTACAACTTACAATCCTGGACTTGAAATCTTTTTTGTTTGATTATGGTAAATTGTCAATTAAATATATTGCAATTTAATCATTTCCTTTAAGAAATTTATAACAGTGTATAATTTGAAATATTCTAACTTACAAGTATAGTTTTTTTTTAAAAAAAGAATAATGTAATATACTTAAACAAATGTATGCAGGCTGGAAAAAGCACTCAATTTAAAGCACGATCATTTCCCGTGTGCTTGGCTAAGCGTGGATTCCGGATACGAATTACCATCGACAAGTGTACTTACCAATGACCAGTGGAATAAATTCTAAGTCTTTTGGTCACTATTGACCAAAGGGAATTTTGATTAAATATCCCGAAACTCCTGGAACAAACCAGCTGACTCAATAACAGAAAATAAACATTCATGCTGCTATGGCAATAAGATGGCTATTTGCGACAAGAGTTGATGATAAAATAATGAATTTTGGTTTAGTAACAATAAGTTCCCACGATATTGAAATATTAAGTACCGAATTCTTGTGTATATAGGTGCATATAATATATATATGTATATATATATATATATATATATATATACATATATATATTATATGCACCTATATACACAAGAATTCGGTACTTAATATTTCAATATCGTGGGAACTTATTGTTACTAAACCAAAATNTATATATATATATATATGTACTAAGAATTGTTATTTTTATATTGATTCATTAATTAAACTGGTTGCATTATTGTTTAGATTGTTGTTTCCCAACTAGTGGTTCGGAAATAACCTGTTAAAATTTTAACAATAGTTAATGATCCAAATCTTTACTTTAATACATTAATTTATTATAAATAGTTTTAATAATAATCAAACTCTTTTTAAAATTATAAAAAAAATAGCATTACCAGATAATAAAAATAGCATTACCTTTTTCTCTAAACTGTTTCCTTAGTTAATTTTATTTCATCCTCGGCGTTTAACAGCTAATCCACATAGATTTTGTGACTATATCAAAATTGAATCCCGTAGCTTTACAAATTTGAATCTGACCCAGAAGACAAGGCAAGTCCTTGATTAAGCATTGACAATTCCGTCTATTTGGAGAACTTTTCAAAGGAAACTAACCGGAATTCACATTAATTTAAGAGAAAAATCATACACACCACCAATGCCTTGTCCACCATCAAAAGTTTATGATCCGCCTACCACTAAGCTATTGGAGGGATTTAAACATAGGCACAATTAAATTGCTTAGTAAAAACGGCGCCAAGAAACATTCCAGAAAAGCGCAACATTTTGAATTCAGACCGACGTTGTGGCTGGCTGCGATCAGAGTTTAATTTTCTTCTATAAGGTCTTTAATAGTTTTCTTAAGATAAATGTGTTTTCTAAACAAATCATATGTATTTTGCTATAATTTCTAAAGCTGTTGTTACTACACTGTGTGAACTGAGATTTAGTATTCCTTTAAATATGGGGTGGAACAAGTATAGTTATTATAACAAGTATAGTTATTTTTGCGATACAGCACAGTAAAGTTGCCTAATTCGTACCACTTTTAGTATTTTAACTTTTTACTTTTCATAAATCACTGACAATAAAATTTGAAACATTTTAATAATAGAATGCAATTCCTCAGCTACCTGGATTATTTTTGGTAGTAATATTTGTGCAGTATGTAATGAAGATTACTTTGCTTTTTCGAAAGGTTTGAAAGTGGTGTGATTTAGGAAACCGATTGTCCAATGCTTATCATCTGATCCCTAAATCGTACTAACCTCAAAAATATTTAGTGATTATGATTAGGTGATTTGGTAGACCACTCAAACTAGTTAAATAGTTACATTTTTGAAAACTCAAAACAGTTAAATTTTTGAACTGCTGCAAGTACATCAACGGTATTATAACCCTATAAAACGTTAATGCAATATGATGTTACGTGCCTCTAAGTTCAAGCTTAGCTTTTATAAATGCTGCTTGTTAAAACTAAATCTTTTTTTAAATTTATAATCAACTTTCTTCTTCTTAGATTTTTGAAATGGGAAATTGGTTAGATTGAAGCCTTCAACATAGAAGGTACGGAGACAGATCGGTCTATTAACTCACATTGCTAACTTATAATTTCTAAAATATTACTTGACTATTCAGAAGGCTCATCACTTAGATGTTTTTGTCCGTTTTTACTTAAATAAGGAAAATTAATCTTAACATAAGAATATTAAATCAAATTTAATTTTTGAAATAATTTCTTTTCTTTCCGATAGATTTAAGTATAAAATCAGGGAGAAAAAAACTGTCTGCTGAAAAACTGCTTTAAAAAAAAAAGACTTTAATTAAAGACTGACGCATCAGAATAAATCCTTTTAAACTGAGTTCGCAATTGTTGTAATCACATTATAAACCTCACTTACGAAGTAAGAAATTTAGTATTGGGTAAAAGTTAGTTCAAAAATAGTTGTCAGACACTTTTTGGAAGTTTGAATGTAATGAGTTAAAATGGCTTGAAAATCGACCTGTTCAGTAGTTGAGATTGATACGTTGCTTTTAAATCGTACCCCGATGAAACTACAGAACGCTTTAAAAGAGTTATTCCAAGCCTCAAACAATAATTTTCTGGCAAAGAAAGAGTAGTGCATAATAAAATAAGTTACTGAACAATTATGTAATGTCTGTAATAATGTGTACATTACTTTAGTTCTGCTCTATCTTTATGCAGGATGCGAAAAAATTATATTGAAAACTTGCAATTTGCTTAAATAAAACTTAACGAAAGTACATAGCAACTTGTGTTTTCTGAATAGATCTCAACGTCCAAAAAAGGGCTCTTAACAGCGCTGACAGCACAGAAAAAATAATGAGATGAATTTAAGCTAGGCTTAACAAAACAGAAGTAGATAGAAATTAAATATCATAAAAAAATAATACAATTGGCAGATTTATGTAAATCGTTTTCTGATAACATAATTATCTTTATGACACAACTAAAAACATGCATGTATTTTATTACATTTAACTTCTGTTTCTGTAGAATTTGCAGCAGCAACCGTTGTCATCTGAAGGTTTCCAAACTTGCTCCAAAATTGGCAAAAATCATTCTTGAATGGAGTAAATGAAACTGAAAACTTCTCAGTTATTGGTGTTTAGATTCAACTACATTCTTTAACAGAGTAGATGAACGCTCTATTCACTATTATCTTGAAATGAAGTATTTATTCACATATTTTTGGATCGATTTTTGGATTGGCATTGTACCATAGTTTTTACTGTGTAACTTCATTTGAAACCTTCTTTCATTTCATCAATTATATCTTTTATGGTCATTTCATCAACATCAGTTCCTCTTTTTCGGAAAGTGAATATAAAGAGCAAGATTTTCATGAACGTTTTTCGTTATTTCATAATCAATTACTTTGAAAATTGAAACGCTAAAAAGATGTTTTTAAGATGTCATAATTATTATCATCATAATAATTATGCTTTGTATTTTTGAAAACCTGCATGCTTTCCTGTTTGTCCTACACTGTAAAGAATTTTGGATCAAATTTCGGTATAAAGTACCAACATTTTTAATGCATCATTCATAAAATTTACTTTTGTTATAAAATGCCACAATTTTTACAGTAATATCTATTAGATTGGAGGGATTCAGTGATTTTACTGTCATTATTACTGAAAAAATTACGGTGTATCAGATCTTTTGCTCTGTAACACTCCTAGTAAAAATGGATTATATGTTAAAAATTCCTGCACCCTGAGTTCCGGTACTTTTTACCGTGATTGAATTTTTTACAGTGTATGAGGTTTCATACCGCCTGTAAGTCAAATTAAGAACAAATCCTACAATGTGCATTGTTGAAACCTCAAACATGTTGCGTAAATTTAGCAACTGAAAATAGATATTCCTCTGAGAAATATAAATTATATTTATCATTTTCCAATATGAACAAAAATTTGCAAAATAATATGTTTATGTATTTATTTGATTTCATTGTAACACTCGCACATTTTTAATGCGAATTATAAAATTATGTAAAAGATTATTTTTATGCCATAATATTTAAAGCACTCATGGAAGTCTTTATAATTTAATATAATTTACGACGAGCGTTATAACTTACAAACGCAAAATACATGTTTTATAAATTTTTTATACTTACTTCTATTCTTCTTGATTCAGCAAGATTGTCAACCATTATAGACATTTGATGAATTTTTCCAGCATTTGAACTTGATTCTACGGAAACTTTCATACTCGTAATGTCTCGAACATGTGTTCTGAATGAATATTCTATCAAAGCTTCAGTTGCAACTATAGTATCCTATTAAAAAGGCATAAATATCATTACACTATCAGAAAAATTGGCTCACTATTGAACGTTAATATTGGTATCTTAAACCATATTACATTGTTGGAATTTTCATTCCAAAATTACAGTAAAATAACCGGCAGCATTCTGTGTATCCGATTAACCGAGAAATTTACGGTGAAGAATACTTTTTACTTTTACGGTCTAGAAACCATAATACAAAGCAAGACGATTTTTATAAAACTTTACAGCTAGCATGGTTCTAAAATCGTAAAGAAGACAAATGTGCTAATTTTACAGATGATGCACTCAGAGTGCCAATACTTCTTATAGTAATTGATTATTAATTTTTACAGTGTACTTTTTAATTACATTATTACACGCTTTTTTTACTTTTAAGTAATTTAATTTTATTATATAAGTAAAATATTTCTGGATTACAGACATACGAAGTTTCTTTTTTGGTATGTAATTAAAAAAGGGCTACTTATTTTTGAAAAAAAACTGCAGTTTTTAAAAAGTAATATTTATATATAAAATTCGCTTTTTCTTACCTTTTTATAATTCTCAAGACATGAATGACTTTACAAAAATATAATTTTGGCTGTCTTATTTTTATTCAAACATTTAAATCCTAAATTAAAACAATTTCAAGGCGATAAACATTCAAAAAATTGGTTTTATTTAGCATGCTCTAACCCCTCTATTTATTATTCACAACTTTTTGTAATGAGTAGCTAAATAATCTTCACAACTAAATGAATTAATTCTTCCAAACTAAAAAACTAAAAAGAAGTAACTTAAAACGACTTCAGGATTTAACTTTTTTTTTAAATGTAAATATTTACTTTAAATTAACTTTTAAACACAAACCTGCGATGAAATGAAACCCTCATCTGTCGTCCTCATAGTATTAAGCCATTTCACTATTTGATCTGTAATAATGCCATTATATCTGACATACACCAACAAGGCATAAGCTGTAGCCTCTACAGCTACGGAATCATATTTACTCGGAAGACGAGGAAGAATAAAGGGTCTTTGATTTTGGTAAAGAATTTCAGATGAAACGATATCATCGGGACTCCAATAAACCATTCCCTCTAAAATAAAAACAAATAAATAAGTAAAAAAATATTTCGAAAATTGTTGATAAAATGGAAAAGTCAATTTTGGCAATTTTTTGTTTAATACAGAAAACATAGTTTAAAGTAAACCTTTCTCTCTTTTCAATCTATCCAACTTATTAAATCCAATTTCAGATTCTACACTACCAGCTTCTAATAGAGCATAAGTAACTATGGCAACTTGATAAGGATCATCGAGTTGTGGTAATCTTCTTTCCAAGTATCGAACAGCTGAATTCTTTGCGTTGGATATGTCTACCCTAATGTCCTAAATACAAATAAATCAAATTCATTATTATTTTTAAACAAGTTTACCTTAAATATATCAATATGAGAAATTGGTGAACACTGAGTATGAGTTTTAATTTCACACTATTTTATTTTTGAATTATATAATAAATATAAAATTTCATCAGGTTTTGAAAAGCGGAATAAAAGAGGTATACTAGATGTATAAAGTAATTCATTAATATAATTGAATATTTTGTCTTTGAAATGTCTACACGGATAACCTAAACATGTAGCAAATAAACTTCAATTTAATAAAATTTCATGAGGTTTAAAAGAGAGGGGTGCAAAAAAAGATATACAAAATGTATAAAGCATTTTATTAATATAAATGATAACTTCGCATTTGAAATCTGTACACTGATAACCTGAAAACGTGCAGTAAATATAGTAATCATTTAACAAATTTCATCAGGTTTAGAGAAAAGTCGAGTAAAAGAAGGATATAAAATGTATACATTAATAAAAATGAATACTTTGCCTTTGAAATGTCTACACAGATATTCTGAAAACATGTAGCAAATAAATTTCAATTTGATTATATTTCATCAGGTTAGGAATAAGTGAAGTAGAAGAATACGAGATGAATAAAGCAATTTATTAATATAATTGAATATTTTGCCTTTGAAATGTCTACACGGATACCCTACTGTTTGTCTACGATAGGTACTCTGTCCGCCACAAAGTCTGCGGCAGTCTGGTGCTATGGAAACAAGAAGAGAGCATTTTAGGGAGGGTGGCTTCGATGAAGAGGTCTCCTTTTCTTTCGCCTTCGATGATAGCTTGTATGGGGAGTTTACCAGATTGGCTGACTCAGCCACCAGTAGGAGACTTATTTAATCTGATTCAAGAACTTTTTTAAGATTCGCATGAATATTTCTTTCTTACTTAAAATAATTCTCTCGATTCAATCAGTTGTTATTTTTTAAATACAAAGGAAAAAAAGTGAACAAATTCTGACATTAAGGGTAGTACAGGTTTTTTTAATATTACTTTTTAATTTTACGATATTTATTATGAATGTTCATTGATTGTTAGATGGTTTAATTTCTAAACTTGCACATTTTTTAAAGCAGTTAATTTCTTTTATTACTTGAATTTTCTGGAAAAAGTGAAGAGCTTAAACTTAATAACTCTGATTTTAAAAGGAGATAAAACTTTTGCTGAAAATAAAAATAGTTCACGTTATCTGTGCCGGAGAAATATTAAATATCTTTGTTTTGATTATTAATTTTTAAATATTTTATTTTTTTTTTTTTTTGAAACTGAAAGCAAGTGACCGCAACTAGGATGAAATCTAAAACTATCAACGATGATTTTTATCAGCACCCATCAAACCATCTGAAATTATCTGAAGTTTTTTTTGCTTAAATTACGTTTTCTTATTCATATTTTATTGTAACCTGTACAGTTTTTTTTCACTATTTATTAAAAACAGTTTTTATTAGCAAATTTATTTTTTTCTTAATAACCAATTTACTATGTATGATAAATTTATAGATGAGTTATTTATTAATAAAACATTGAGCTGCTTTAAACAATTTTATACAATTTCCATACATATTCCATACATACATATAAATTTTTTAAATTTTTTTTCTAAAACAGAAGCTTTTGAAAAAGAGAAAAGATAAAAAAAAAGGAATCACACGCTCTAAACGATGTTTCAGGCGCGAATGCTCATTTCTCTTAACTCTAGGGCTAATACAATAGATCGAAGAAAGAAGTCTCCTTTTCTCCCACCGAAACCAGTCTTAAAGAGGGACCCCGCACCCCTACTTGAAATAATCATACCTCGTTACCATAGTCCCCGCCACCCCTCCAGACGAATGGCGGACAGAGTACCTATCGTAGACAAACAGTAGCAACCTGTAGTAAATAAATTTTAATTTAATAAAATTTCGTGAGATTTAAGGGAAAGAAGTGCGAAAAGAGGTATACTAAATTCATAGAGCAATTCATTAATATAATTGAATACTTCGCATTTGAAATGTCTACTCATATACTCTAAAGACATACAGCAAAAAAATTTCAACTTATAAAATTTCATCAGGTTTTGAGAAAAGGGAAGTAAAACGAGGTATACATGATGCATAAAGCAATTTATTAATTTTGTTGAATAATTTGCATTTAAAATGTGTACACGGATATTCTTAAAACTTGAATTAAATAATTTTGAGCATATAAACCTTGCGAAATATATCAATGTGATAAATAATAAGACACTGATTTTTAATTTTAATTTTACACTATCCCATTTCTTACAGTAGAATAAAAAAAGTGTTTTATCAGATTTATAGAAAAGTGCAGTTACAAGACGTATATAAAATTTATGCAGTATTTTTACTTATATTTTTATTTATTTTTTTCATTAATTACTGCTTATGAAATAAAATAAAAATCTTTGCCTTGCTTAATGTTCTGATTTTCATTAATAAAAGATGAAGAATATGTTTTCATTTACATAAATAAGCTATTAAATATATTTCATTCACATAAATCCAGCTATGTCAGCATGTAGAGATACACTTAATACTACTACAATTAAATTTAAAAATCAAAAGTGAATTGAGAAAAAATGTTTTGCAAATAAAACTTATTCTAAACATTTTGATTTCAAAGTAATTTCTTTTGACTTCATGTTTCGAATTTTAAACTGGGTAGAATTCATTAAATTAGTTTCTTTTAATTTAATTGGTTCTTGTTTTCATTCTGAATTGAGGAAGAACAATACTGTGGTAAGTAAAAAAATCGATTTTTTTTTCATTATTTTAGTTTAAAGGTAATCATTTCTTGAAATAGACATTTTAGCTTTAAATAGACTTCTGAGAACTATAAAATGGTTTTATCGTAGCAAGATTTTTATGGTACTATGATTTATTCGTTAATTTAAACCTTATATATTATCCAATTTGAAGAATAATATTACTGGTGAAAGTTAAATTGATATTTTTTCCTTATTTTAAGTTCGCAATTAATAATTTCCAGGCATAGGCTTTTCTTCAAATAGTTTTCTAAGAACTTTACACAAATATATCTCGCAATAAAATTCTGATGATAGTTATGACAGTTTATCCGTCAATTTAAAACATATTGCTTTTTTTTTAATCTTTTTGGCAAAGAATGATAAAATAGGGAAAAAATAGCATGTGATTTTCGCTATTTCAGGCTTAAAATTATGATTTTGAGGAATACACCTTTTGCTTAAAGTAGACCTTTATTAACTTTAGTTTTTCTCGTAACAAAATTTTTTATTATGACTCATGATGGTTTATTCTCAGATATAAATTGATCATTTTAAACAATATTTACATATTTACTTTTGAAAAGAAGGCATATATTACAAAACGATTGATTAAAATTTTTAATCAACCAAATAATTTTTACTGATACCAAAACACGTTATTTATTGGCTGAGAATAATAAGTGCAAAATTTAAAGAGAATCGCAGTATGATAGGCATATGTGAAAAAATCTATACACCGTCTCAATTTCTATTCGACATGCTAGGTGGCAACACATAGTCAAACATAGAAGAACGAGTTGCAAATACGCATACCAATGGAATAAAGTCGCAAAAGAAAGCAATAGTTCAATCTAGGCACCATGAAACTACAGAAAAAGGTAATTTTCATTTTTTTTTATTAAATTGCAATGAAATTCGGCAATGAAAATTGATGGCAGAGTTTTGGATGTTCAAAGCATTACGTGGGGATTGTGTCTACATGTTTGTCAGTAATCACAAGTTTTAATACGGTTTTATAACGTAGAACATTCAAAAATACTGTTTGGGGGAAAAAAGCATTCGTCCATTGGACAAGGTGTCATTTCAGTCTTACCTAAAGAAAGATTCTATGACAGATATTACAGCGTGACCCATCTGCATGACAAAGGAAAAGAATGACGTCGCTGGAGCAATAGAAATCCTTGGTATTCTTGAGAAAGAGCGCGAAAATCTTTTGATAAAAATTAAAAACACTAGATTTGTGTACTCGAAGTATGGGTTTTTAAAATTATCTTAATTTTGCTGAAGCGACAATATCATACACGAGATCAAGAAAAATGAGACTTATAATGACAGTTTTTACCTCATCTTTTTACCACCATTACGTCTTGTTATGTTGAAAAAACAAAAGCAGAATGTTTAACAAAAGATCCAAGCTTTTAGTGTGGGTACCTAGATGGTATATATGTGTTTTGGTCTCCTGGACCAGACATTCACAAATTAAAATTTCATAAACAAAACTTCTCATCCTCTTTATAGTACAATGTGGGTGAAAGTAAAGTGCCAATCAATATTTTTTCTGACTCCGAGCTTATGTCAAAGATACCCATTTGGTATACATGCGTTTTAATTCCCTGGAACAAGCATTGAGAGTTTAAAATTTTATAAGCAAAGACTTCTTATTAGCACAATATATGGACGAAAGTCAAGTGATAATTAATGTTTTTTTCTGATACCGAGAAAAGTCTACCTCTTTTCAGATGAAAACTCGAAGAAAAGTGGATATAGAGTTAAATCTGTAATACACTGTAAAAATCAATTGTAAATTCTACAAAAAAACCCATATTTTTCTCATAAAAGGAACCGTTTATAGAAAAATACTTTTTTTTTCTGTTTTATTGGCGCACTGTAAAAAATTCCCATTCTTTTTGCAGTCTTTCTCTGCATATCTGATGATTTTTAGCTGTTTTGTTGATAAATAAGTTTTCCTCTTTTTCTTAATCCTTTCAGTTCAAATTCCAGTTTTTGCGATGTTTCCATCAAATTTCAGTTTGCCTTATTTTCTCTTACTGATATTCTTACTTATTATATTTTCTCTTAATGATCACAATGCTGATGTAGTTATTTCTTAGAATTTTTCGTTAAAAAAGCGAAATTTGTTAGTTAAAATAACGGAGTTTGTTTGTTAAAATAACAGTAGGGGAGAGTGGGGTCAATTGTAACAGGGTGCGATTGTAACAGAGTAAAAATTTCGA